ATAAAAGTGACATAATCGATTATGTACGTGTAATAATCGATTATGATGCATTAGAAATGAAAAATCGATTTTCTCCCTGTCATAATCGATTATACTGGTAACATAATCGATTATGACAGTTCAAATTTGAAAAATATATCCATTTATGAAAAATAAACATTTTTTAATACACCCTGATTTTTTTCTACGAAATTATTAATGATCAACAACTATTTCTGATGTTATTTTTAAATAAGTTTTAATGAAAAATAAAAAAACACACAATTACAGAATTCGAAAATACAATTTACATTCAATCAGATTTGAGAAAAGAATCTTGAGCAAGGCAACAAAGCCCTTTTAGGTTTTCTAAGAAATTTTTTTCATATTGCCTTCTACACTTTCATTGTCAATCACACTATGTTCTTGGAGTTATCATTCTACAGACTTCTACAAATTATTGTCTCCATTACCCAGGTGTGACTATTCTTATTTTATTGCCTTCATCCTTTGGGATTTTAGGAAGTTGATGTTAAATTTCATGTTTAGGGTTTAAGTGGTTGTCTTTAAATTCTCTTTTTAGGATTTAGGTGGTTGCATTGGAATTTCTGTTTTCATCCCTTTGATTTATTCGGGGAGGTGTTCATCCTTAGTGGGATTCTAAGGAGGTGTTTTCATTCCTTTGATTTGTTCGGGAGGTGTTCATCCCTAGTGTGATTCGATTTGTTCGATGAGTGTTCATACCTAGTGAGATTCTAGGGTTGCAAAGGAGGTGTTTTTCATCCTTTGATCTTTATCTGAATTTCGGTCACTAACTAAAATAGTTACCGAAATAATAACCAACCCAAATCGATCACTATTTCCTTGGTCAATAATTTCAGTGACCGAATTGTCGCTGACATGATTCGAACCCAGTACCTTAGAATTAGAGATCGTTACTTCAACCACTAAGCTACTAAGATTTTTTGATAATAATTTATAAATAAATTATATTTATATACAAATAAAAATATATATCCGTGTAAATATATAAATAAAAAATATATATATATATATATATATATATATATATATATATATATATATGTTGGATGTGAGGGCGCACTCGAGGGTGAAAGTGTGTGTCGAGTGGATTTTTAAAATTTGATGTCAAATTTGTGAGCGGATCTCTTTATATGAGTTTATAATTTAATGACACAATATAATCTTTATAATTTATTTATATAATGATATAAAATAATTTTTTTCTTTATTTATTTTTATTTTATTTTAATTTATTCTTCTTATATTTTTTTCTTCTATTATTTAATTAAAATTCTTATATTAAAATAATTTTTTCAATATTAAAAATAATTAAATATTCATTTTTAAAATTATTTAATTTAACAAATTATTATAAATTAATCTAATTATGATTATTAATAGAACAATTTTTTCCTAACATATATTATTATAAATTAATCAAAATCATCTTTTAATAATTATTTTTTCCAGACATAGATTAATTCATAATAATTTGTTAAATTAAATAATTTTAAAAAATAATTTTGAAAATAAATATTTAATTATTTTTAATAATGAAAAAATTATTTTAATATAATAATTTTAATTAAATAATAGAAGAAAAAAAGATAAAAAGAATAAATTAAAATAAAAATAAATAAAGAAAACAATTATTTTATATCATTATATAAATAAATTATAAAGATTATGTTCTATCATTAAATTACAAATCCATATAAAGATACTCGCTCACAAATTTGACATCAAATTTTGAAAACTCACTCGACACACACTTTCACCCTCTAACGTTACCCTCATATCGAACATATAAATATATAAATATATCAAAATATATAAATATATTTGTATTTGTATATTTATATATTTACACGGATATACATTTATTTGTATATAAATATAATTTATTTGTAAATTTTTATTAAAAAATTCTAACAGTTTAGTGGTTAGAGTATTAATATCTAACTCTAAGGTATTGGTTTTGAATCTTATTAGTAATAATTTTCTTAATCTGATAAAAAAATTTGTTAATAAGAGAAATTATATATTTTTGTGGTAAGAAGATGAGATTTTTAGGTTAAACTAAAATTAGGGCAACTAAATTGTTATTATGGACTAAAACCCAAAAAGTAAAAATAAAAAATATAATTAAATAAATGAAAAAATATATACTTTTGCATTTTTATTTTCAAATATTAGTATTTTTATGAAATTATTTTTAATTAAAATAATTAAAGTGTATATATATATATATATATATAAATTTTTTTATTTTTTTTATTTTAATTTATTAATATTATCAAATTTTATCTTCATGATTAAAAAAATACCAATAATTAAAATTTTATTAATTCTATAATTTTATATAATTATTATTATAAATTTAATTCTCTAATAACTAATAATATTAACACATTTATTAAATTAAAATTTTTTATTTTAATTAATTATTTTGATTTTTTATACAATTTTTTTAAAATAAAAACTATAAAACTTAAAATTAATTTCTAACTAAATCTTCACAGATTTATGGTTAATAGTATATTATATTATTATGTTTAATTAAATTTTAAAATAAGTTCACTTAATCTTTACACTTTTATAAAAATACTAATATAAACTTAAAATATTTATCCAATTATTAAATTATTTAAAATATTAATATAAATTTGAAATATCAATTCAATAATTAAAATAATTTTAATTTTTTTATAAATACATTGAAATACATTTTTATTAACATAAAAGTAATATATATATATATATATATATATCAAAAAGAGACTAAATTAATAATTAATTTAATAATTGATTATATATATAAAAGAGACTAAATTAATAATTACTTTAATTATCGAATCGATGACTGAATTCGGTGACTAATTTAATAATTAATTTTAATTTTTTTATTCACATACTAAATTAAAAAATAAAATCAAATAATTATATTATTAAATTATTTAATAAGTTAATAAACTATTTTTTAAAATTTTTATAATGTTATTAAAAATTTTTATCAATTATTTTAAATTATTAAGTAGATTTATATTTAATATATTTTTAAAATATTTTTAAAAAATATTTATATAAATAAAAAATGGTCACTAATTTATATATTATTTGTTTAGTGACTGAAATTTTAGTCACTAAATCGAGTCACTATATATAAAAAGAGAAATCGAGTCACTGATTCAGTTACTATTAGTAACTGAATTTTTCGGTCACTGATTTCGATCACTATTAACCATTTTCTAGTAGTGACCAAATCAGTGACCGATTTCCGTGACTGAAATTTTAGTCACTAAATCAGTTACTAAATATAAAACTTCGATAACTATTAACCATTTTTCTAGTAGTGAATCAACTGAGACAACACTTATTTGTACAAGAAGAAGAGATTTATCAAACAATGGAGTACAATGAACGACTAGAGAATCAATTTCGAGAGTTTCAATCGCTTGTGGTGCAATCGTTCAGTTCCTACCTCTCAATGCACAGTCCCTCATTCAGTAGCTTCAACAAAGCCAAGATAATCAACAACATCAATCTGAACAAGAAGAATACAATCAACAACAACATGACAACTCACAACAAGAAGACAACATACAACAACAACATTTTTCTAACTATTCTTGGTATTAGTATTTGTTCAAATAATAGAAAACTTTATATTTGAGTTTCTAAGTAGTTGTTTCTTTACATTTCATAACTACACTAAGACTTTTTATATTTCATTATGGACAATTTGTATTTTATTTGATATTAATGATGAATAATTTGTTTTATATATTATTCAAAATATACCTAAATTGGATTTGCTGAATTGGATATCTATATTATATCTTATAATGGGTATGGGTAAATGAACAAAATAATGCTCTCTGGATAATGATTAACATTTACTAATGGATTTATCGGTGGAAAATTTTGTTGTTAAATAACACAAGTAATTTACGACGAACACATATGTCGATAATTATTAGAGGATTTGGTCGTTTGTAATTATTGACGGATATCTCCATCAATAAGTTCCAAAAATCTCCTATGAAATAGAAAGGATCATTCATACATAGCATAGTCCAAGCGAACCCACTTAAAATCTTTACTAAATTATGACCAACCATCATATTAGCAAATAAACGTATTCATGAGCTTAATGTGCTCCCTTCTTATGCTTCCCATTAACCAACCGAAAGTCCGCTATTCCTGATTAAGGAATGGAGTCAGCTTATTCTCTAAGTCCTATTATTCTAAACCGACTATCTATAACTCTATCAGCCTTAAGTGCTCTAATGATTTTAGCTTATGTAGTCCTGGATATTTTTGCAAAGTTATGGGTCATGAGATTTGAAATGGCAATAAAAAACAAACAGTTGACAATAGGTTCTATAATATGGAATCATAAAACAATTTAATATATTATTATTATTATATTAGTTTTTGAAGTTATTCAGTAATTTAATAAATTGTCAAAAAAAAATTCAAATTAAATTTTAATAAGATATCTTAATAGTTTTTTTATATTTTATTTTTATATTTGAATAGGTTAGTCAGAGATGTTATATAATCTCTTCAAATTCAAATAGGGAATAATCATTTACTTTGTGAGATACCACCCTCTTTTCAAAAATTGTTTTACACTGCATATGTTCCAATTGAACATTACATTGAAGACTAAAAAGTTCATATCCGGTGATAGAGAAAGATCTTGTTTCTTGGAATGATAAAGATAGAATTAGTCTGCAAAACAACAAAGATAATATAACCCATGTTTACTGCTCCGAATGACTATTACCATTACCTATTGATCCAAAATGTTGAGAAATATATTTAGGAGAGAATAAGATCACTTGCTGATTGAATGTCAGAAAAGGTGGTACATGTGTATCAATTTTGGAAGTTCGGTTAGGCTGTATCTTACTCATTACTCGTACAATTCTAATTTCTCATTATTTCTTACACAACTTTCCCGCCAAATGGTAACAAACTTTGTCGTCATCTCAAGATCGATCTTCGGCGACGTCTTTCTGATCTTGCGTCAAGCATCCATCAACGGTGTTCGGTTGCACCAAGTGCCTATCCAGGGTGCGAATGGTGTCACCGTGCAGAACACGGTGCCATCGAAACGACATTTTTTCGTCCATCGTTTTATCATTGTGAATGAAAACATAACGACCGAGAGTAGGAAGACGAAACCTAACTATCCGGTGCGCCTTCTCCAGCAACACCCTCAACACCGCCACGCGCTCCTCAGCCCTCACCTCCATCTCTAACCTCTCTTTCGAGTTCATCGGCGCCACCATCACCTTCAACCTCACCTTTCGTGGCGGTCGCCGCGGTGGCATTATGTACACGTCGATCTCACGTCGATCGGAATCTACGAAATCCTTCAACAACTGTTCATCCAGCAATTCCACGGGCTTTCTATGATATTGCAGCACTACTCTCTCCAATCCCACGGCGTACATATCTTTCTGTTCAAGAACCTTCTCCTTCAGCTTCAGAACGGTGTCGTTCACGTCCATTTCTATAGGGATACGTTCTTTGCCAGCAGGCACTTTCACTTCCAGCACGATTGTCGACCACTCCGTCGGCGAGTCCCCCATGGCGGACAATAGTGGCTCCTCGGTCGTAGGTCGCATCTGGTCCGGGGGTACCACTAACTCTTCCACCCTCTTCTTCTCTTTCCATTGTTGTCTCCACCTCAACCTCGGCGGCAACTGGGACACGCCATCATCCATAACGGGGTATTATTGAGAAGTGAGTGAAGGAGTGGAAATTGAGAGTGTGCCTAGGCAAGACAGTTAATTTGTAACTGTATTTAACTAACGTTCAAAATCTGGCATCATTATCTTGATTTCATTTCCCGAAAATTTAAGGGGTGATTAATCTCATATTACAAAACATCCATCCTACTTCTATTTTATATTATATTTTATTATAAAAGTAATTTTCATTATTTAATTTAAAAATATATATATATATATTCACACCTCATTTTTTTCAAATATTCATATAATAAATTATTTTTTATATTTTTACTCCACAAAAGAAATAGAATATTACTATTTTAAAAATGTAATAAGATAAAAGCATTTATTCAACCATCTATTTTTATATTATTATATATTCATTTTATTTTATTCTCTTTATAAAAATAAATAATATTTTAAAATTATCTATCACATATTTATAAAAATTACATCTGAAAAATATTTTCCAAAATAAAATAATATGGACAACCGCAGATCCTGAACACACTTTCCAGACAACCGTGTATCAGCAATTTTCTTTGAAAATTAAGGTTATGATATATTGATAACCTAATTTTTTTTCTAAATATCTATCTAATAATTTATTTTCAGATTTGTATATTATTATTTATTTATTTTTATTTTATTTTATTTTTTCTCTATTAATCAATAAAAAAATAATATTTTAGAATTGTATGGATGTTTTGAAAAATTGGATCTCAACAATTTTGTTTCCCCGAATTAAATGAGAAAATTTATTTTTATAATAAAACATAATATAAAAAATAATATTTTAGAATTGTATGGATGTTTTGAAAAATTGGATCTCAACAATTTTGCTTCCCAGAATTAAATGATAAAAAATAGTTTTATAATAAAACATAATATAAAATAGATGTATGATAGATATTTTGTTATTTCAGGGTATTCATTAATTACAACCCTAAATTTAATTCCATTCGAGGACCATCATTGTTGTGCTTAACAAATTCCGAGGGCGATTATTTACTTCATCCTTTCCAAAATAATATTTATTACTATTCGTTAATTTGAAAAAAAATAAATTAATGAAACATAACAATATTTTAAAACGAACTCAACTTAAGATTTAAAATTCCAATCAAACAGAATAAAATAATATTTTTATAATATAATAAATTTATTAATACTAATATTTTTATAAAAAAATAAAATTAATAAAAGTTATATTGTCATTTTATAATAAAAATTATAAATATAAAATATATTAGAAAATATATAATGAATAATTAATAAAATAAAATAATTATTATTTAAGATTGACATAATAATATAAAATTTAAAAAAAAATATTTTTTCTAAAATTATATTAAAAAAATTTAACCTTAATTTTTTTTTTTTACCAAACCTAGTTCGATTAAAAAAATTCCGTCAATTTTCTTTGATTTGGTTCCCGTTTAATTAATATTCGATTATTTAAAAGCAACAAATCGATTTTTAGTTCAATTCCTGGTTCAATCGATTGAGTTGATCAGTCCAGTTTTCAAAATAATAAAAAATAACAATTAAAAAATATTTCTTCATTATCTTTAGTATAATCTTTTATTTAAGATGATAAAACAGACTAATTTGTTTTGTCTTTAGCCCTCAAAATTAGGATGAAGCAGGTTAATCTATCATCGTTAGAACAAATAACAGACTCTAATATGTACCATCAAATGGTGATTAACGGATTAACGAGTCAGTTGAGCAATATTTTTTTATATTAAAATTTTTATATGTATTTCTTTCAAATACACATTTAATTATATAAATGATTATTAATTAATTATTTATTTATTAATATTTTATTAAATAAATTTAAAAAATTACATATTAAAATATTTAATTATGATTAATAATTTAAATTTAATTAATTAATATTTATAATTTAAATTATAATATTATAATATATTTTTTATATTTTAATAGTATATTAATAAAAGATATAATATTTATAATTATAATCACTTCTGTATTCTAATTTTAATATTTAATTTTTTTATAAGAAATCAGTAAAATAGGTTAAAATGAATTAACGTGTAACACCTGATTCAATATTTCTTAGACTAACTGGGTTGGCCACTGATGTTGTCATCCTAATTTTACTTTTTCATCATATAAAAAAATAAAAGCACTTCCTTCTCATCTCTTAAAAATAATATATATATATATATATATATATATATATATATATATATATATATAACTATGCAATTATTTACTTTTTTTACTTTATTTATTATTATAAATAACAAATTTTATTAATTTTTATGTCACATCTTCTTCAAATAAATAAGTAATTTTTTTATTATATTTTATATTTCTTTTTGTCCTCATATAAATAAACATGGACTACAAATGTATCTGAAAATAATTATCCACAATATACTTAAATATTTAATTAAATATTACCTTTCAATAAATAACAAATGATTGTTTTGCAACATTTAATAGTTAATTAATATTTTTTTATCTGAAAAAATAAAACATATATAAAAAGTTTACTTGATAAACTCACTAAACTAGATCTGATATATATATTATGAAAGTTAAGAGAAAATAAATTATTTTTTGTCAAATTTTCACCTAAGTTCTCTTAATACTTAAAATTTTAAGGGTGTAAGATAACTTTTTAGATGGAAAATGAATGAAGGGTAATTATTTTAATAGAATATTTGAGATGCTTGGTGATAAAATTGGTGGTGTTTCCATAAAAATTTTGTAAAGTAGTTATAATTATAGAAATTAATTAAAATATTATGATTATTTAATATAAGAAAATTTCAAAATTTATTTAAAAAGTAAGAATTTTAAAATCTTTTTTTCTCAATTTACATTTTCTCTCTAACTCAATCTTGATTGTAATATTATTTACTTATATTGACTTATTTCAACACAAGCTAACTCAACTCAACCTAGATTAACATATCTTAACCCGAACCTAACTTATCTCTATTTGATTTAAACTCGGTATGTTTGGTCATCAGCGAACTATCTTGACTCGATTGTTCTTTATCTAATTCATTTTATATTAACATTAACCTATCTCAACCTGTTCTAATTAATTCATCTCGAGCTGACATGTCCTAACTTAATTCAATCATTTTTTTTTACTTAGACTAAAGAGTTAGCCCAGGCTGGGCTGAGCTAGGCCGCCCAATTTGACAACCCTATCTTATCTTACCCTGACTCAACCTATCAATCATGATTTGTCTTATTTACTTACTGTTTCACCTATTTATTTGGATTCAACTCGACTTAATATGACTTGATTCATCATTATTCAACTTGACTCATCTCAACTTGTCGACCTAACTCCACTTGATCAAACCTTTTTAATATAAATATTATTAAAATTAATTATTATTTTAAATAAATAAAATACTAAAAAAATAATGATAATAAAATATAAATTTTTAATTCTTATCCTGAGATTGAGGGGATGTGTTTTCTTATAATTTATGTATTAAATTATTATATTTTAAACAAAAATTAATTTCATTAATAAAATTTTAAATTTTCAAATTTATTTTAATTAATTAATTTTGTATAAATATGCCAATATTTTTTTAATTCAATCAGGCTAAAATTAGTTTGTTAGTCCTGACAAAGGATTATATTAAACTAAAATTTTTTGTCCTGTTTCAAAATAGATGTCAAACTAGACCATCAAATTCTTTTTACTTGACCTGTAGGTCAAGTCAGACTGTGTTAGATCATCCATGTTGACAACTCTAATTATTTAGAGTAAAAGGTAATTTTTTGAAATTTATATTTAGATAAATTATTTTTTTAATTAAAAAATTTATGGAGTATATATTTTAAATACTACTTATTAATAGAAAGTCATCAGTTATTTATTTTTAAATTTGTCTAAAGAAATCTATCAACAATAAATAGCTGTAGATTTTTTCTCTGAAAAATTATCAATAAGAAATAGTTACAGATTTTCTTCAAAAAATTATTTGTTAAAGTTTTTAGTAAATTTTACTTTGATTAAATTAGTTATATAGATTTTTTGTAATAAATATCTTAGAAAATTCATAGAGTTTTAAAATTATTCACACAGATTTTCTTTTAACAATTTATCATAATATTTTAAAATTTCATTATAATATTTTAATAATTTATAATTTTTAAAGTTTTTTTTGAATGTGTAATTTCCTGAATTTTTCTTGCAGATTTTTATGCAGACAAATAAAATATTATTTTATGAAATTAATTATAATTTTATTAATAGATTGATCCTATAGAGAAATATTCTTGAATATTCTGTAAAATAAAGTAAGGTATTTTTTATTTAATTTATAATTGCAACAATCTTATAATAAATTATAATTAATAAATAATCATGTTTTTTTTATATAGGCATTCCACTGTATTACCGAATTTTATAGCTTTTTATCAATTATCTCCATATATGTATTTGTATATATCTTATAATAAATGTATTTTTTATATGTATTTTATAAATGTTACATATAGCTTTTTAGTTCAAGCATTAATTAATAATGAAGTTAATAAAGTTAATTACTTTCATTCTTAGAAAATAATTTTTTTATGTATTTACTTTAGTTTAGACTCAAAGTTAGTTTTTCAACTATACTTTTAATCAATTACTTTCATTCTTAGAAAATAATTTTTTTATGTATTTACTTTAGTTTATACTCAAATTTCAACTATACTTTTAATCCAATAATCATTCATACCAAAACATAAAGATAATCAAACTTAGAAGAAAATACCATCAAATAAATAAAAATATATTGATAAAAAGATGATGATACCATGTGTGAGAGAAGTATGATACCTGATAATCTTCAACGTAATGTGGATTAAAGAATGAATTTGAGAAAGTAGAAAATGATAAATATGAATTTGTGAGTGATTTGATTGTTGTAAATGGTAAATATATTTTTCAAGATTACCAAATTATCCTTGATAAAAGATATTATTATTAATATAATAATTAATTATATATTTATTGTTATAAATATTATTATTATTATTTAAAATATTATAATTATTTAAATGATTTTTATTTTAATTATTAATATTATTATTAATATGATCATTTGGATCAAGAAAAATAGGATGAAAAATAAAGAGAAATTAATAAAAATATTATAAGTAATAATAAGATTGATTGAATAAATTAAAAATTAATAAATATTATATTAAATTAATGAATGATGAAAACATATTTAATATAAATTTATTTTATAGTAATTTATAATTAGTATTAAATTATACAAATTATTTTATAATATAATTACAATGTTTAGTTTATTTTACAAAAATTGTAATATAAAAATACTTTAAAAAAATAGCAGTATAAAAATTATTTCAAAAATATAACATAAACAAATTAGTAATTTTATTTATTATCTTAAAATAATATTAACCTAAAAAATAAACATAATTTATTGAAAATATTATTAGTTGATGTTGGTTCAGGAAAAAAAAATTGGTTAGTGTATATCATGTGATTTATTATCCAATTAATCAATTTATAAATGACTTTTACATCACCTATCATTCTCAGAAATTTTCTACTAATTAGAAGGTTAAGTATTGGATGAGTCCTACTTATTTTTTTCATATATTATTTCAAATTGATAGATGCAAACACAATAAATCAATGCAAATCGAACACTCTTATTTCTCTGTTAAGAGTAAATCTGTAAAAATAACAAGAAATTATTTCAAGACAACTCAAATAAGATAATATTCTATTATTTAAAAAATATTAGAGGAATAATTAATGGAAAACCTAAACAAAACATTTATAAAAGCAACCTTATCATATAAATATAATAATAATATATAATAAGATAAATTAAAAGAAAGAAAAAAAAGATAAAAAGTTGTCTATTAAATATATGTTTAAAATTAGACTGTCAACAACGATCTTTATTTAAATTTCTATAAAAAAAGGCTTATTTTGGTTATCAAATAATTTTCACTATTTTAAGTGACACTAGTCCGACTAAATCTTCTTTTATTATTAAATAATAATAATAATAATAATAATAATAATAATAATAATAATAATAATAAGATATAAACATCAATTATTTTCACACACGTTTTTTTTCTAATACATCATACAAATTATATATTGTCTTCTTTCGTCAAAGACGCCGGACCTACCTCTAAAACATGCCATAACCTTACCATGCAAGAATATGGAAATCGATATTTTTTCTGTGATGAAATATGTCTATATATCATTTTATTTTAAAGATTTAACAGTTGAAACATGAAAAGAATTGGTGTTTTTGATAAGGTTCACGTGTATATATATATATATATATATATATATATATATATATATATATATATATATATATATATATATATTTAAATGTATATTTAATGATATTTAGGCGACGTGGGACTCGCAGTACATTCTCTCCAACGAAGTGTGTTGAATTAGGCAAGTAGTATTTTTATCCAACATAATAATAATTGTTGATCTAAAATAATAATCGGATATTAAATTTTGACTCTCATATCATGTTAATGAAGTAGGCTAATATTTATTTAAACTATAACGAATGAAATGAGATAGTCCATGTTGGCCATGTTGGACTTCCAAACAGTTTTCATGGGAGTGTGTATCTAATATAATTAGATATAGAAGATTGTTTCATGTAAATGTAAAATTACCAGATATGATGCACAGTTACTCGTTTCCATGAAAAACCAGATACTTCAGGAAATGGTCACAAGGATGCAAAATTTCATTGGATATTAATTATTTAAGATAGTTGAACTACTATGAAATAAATAATTAAACCGACAAAGGTAAAAAGAAGTAACAAAAAAGAGCTTTATTTGGAAGATGAAGTAAAGAGAAAAAACCTAACAGGAAGTATGTTCTTGGTTAAAAAAGAAAGTAGAGGAACTAGCGGTGGCCAGGGCCTGAAGTAACGAATCCATCAAAGGTTTCGATGATGTCGCCGTCCCTAACTCCGTGCCAATAAAAGGACTGATCTTCATCCATCACTTGCTGTCTGTGAATGAAAAAGTAACGACCATCTTCAGGAAGACGGAACCCTAACGTCCGGTGCAACTCGTCCAGTTTCTGCCTCAACAAGGACACCATGTCCAGAGGAAACATCTCAATCTCAATCCTCTCCTTTGTTTCCATCGGCACCACCTTCACCTTCACCTTCCCAGACTGCGCTCTGCTGCTACCGCCCCTGCCGCTCCCCCCCTTGCTGCTACCGCCCTTGTTGCTACCTGTCCCCCGAAGAGCCGGTTTCAAGAACACGTCGATCTCAGGATTCTCTACAATCGCACAATCTTCCAGAGTCGCCTGATCTTTCAATTCCTGACGCATTGAATGCAACTGCAGCACAATCCTATCCAGAGGCACGCCTTGCATGTCTTCCTGCGCAGCAATCTTCTCCTTCAGCTTCCGAACGGTATCCTTTCTGTCTGACTCTATACGGACGCGATCTCTCGACTTAGGCATTTTCACGTTCACCGTCACCGTCGTCACCGGCTGAGGATTTGGTATACACGTTAACGGTGGAGGCGGCGATGGCCGCTGCTGCATCAGCTGCGTTGACGATGAAATCTCCGGCATCACAAACGGATCGTATTCGTGACTCAGAAGCGTTGACGGTTGTAGCTCTGGCACAGGTTGTGCAGGTAAAAATTGGCCATGGATAGGCATCCGTGGCTGCGCAATATATGCCGCATCTGCTGTGGCGACAACGAGGTGAACGTGGGAGCCGTGAAGGATTGGAGTTGTATAAATGTAGAGATGATCTTCAAGAAACTGGCCATTGAAGAGGAAGTTTTGTTGGGAAATGGGAATTTGGTGAATGCTTTGGATCTTCTCTTTGACATCACGGATCGTTTCAAAGCGATTAACTTCAACAGAGAACAAGATCCCTCCCTGAACCTCAAAAATAACATCTATTTCAAAGTCCATAACTATAGTGAGTAGTTTCTTGAAACTTTTGAACTTCTAACTTCCTTTCCGCCCTATATGCCTCCAAAGTTGGAACAATATCTCACCTTTAATTGTTCCAAAGCTATGGACTTCAGAGAACAAGATAGATCTAAAAAATACTTCTATTTCAAAGTTCATCACTATAGTGAGTAGTTTCTTGAAACGACTAACATTTTTTCCGCCCTTTCTGTCTCCAAATTTGGAAGAACTATCTCACACGTAGCCCGATTTATTTTTTTATTTTTTATTCAGATGTAGATAATTTTTTATCATCTTTTTTATTTATAAAAATATATTATATTTTATCATATTTTTTAAAATAATTTATCTTATTTGTTACTGGATATTATCTTTAAGATTAATTGATGGTTTAGAGAATAACAAATAAAAAAAATCATTATGTTATGTATTTAATTTTATAATAATAGAACTTGATTTGTTTCTGATTATATGAATATTTTTAATAATTATTTTATGAGTACAATATATTTACTAGTTTTATCGATACTTATGTATAAGTATTTAGCCACAAAAAATGCATATTCTATTTACTGTCATTTGTATATTGCATTATTAAATTTAAAAAAATGCACATATGATCAGTTAACTTATAAACTCTTAAGAATATGGTTTTCTTTTTATGATATTTTTTTAAATATTTAAATACTAAACTTTTTTATTCAATTTCAACTGTGATATCATACAATACAATACAGATACAAGTAAAAACACAAATTCATCTATACTTTTTATGCCCCGGCGTGAAGAAACCATACATACTAGCTACTCATCAAATGGTCTCAAGGATACAAAGCTTCTATTTTATTTTTCATGTAAATATTGAACCCGAGAATATAAAAAAAAAAAAAGTAATAAAAAGAAAGAAAAGTATGATAGAAAAGGAAAAACCCTTGGGGAGCTTTATTAGGAAGATGAACGGATTATACATTTTGATGTGTACATGAAAGATGGATTTATACAAAGAAATTTAGTGTGCTTGTATGTACAAAGCTATGGTAGTTATGGGTTAGGAACAGATACTAGCTAGTGGAAGAAGAGGAATTGACAGAGTTGGCAGGGCCAGAAGCCTGGAATTCATCAGAAGTTAGGATGGTGTCACCGTGCCTAACTCTGTGCCAATGAAAGGACTGGTCTTCATCCATGGCACGCTTTCTGTGGATGAAAAAATAACGACCATCTTCCGGAAGGAATCCCAGTAACTGGTGCGACTCGTCCAACTTCTCCCTTAACACCAACACATGGTCCAGAGTATTCACTTCTATCTCAATCCTCTCATTCGATTTCAGAGGTAACACCTTCACCTTGAGCTTCCCAGACTCCTCTCCGCTGCTACCAGCATCAGGATGAGCGGGTTTCAAGAACACGTCGATCTCAGCATTCTCTGACACCACAGAATCTTGCAAAGACACATTGTCCATCAATTCCAGACGCAATGAGTGCAACTGCAGCATGATCCTATCCACAGGCACGCCCTGCAGATGGTCGAGTGCAACAATCTTCTCCTTCAGCTGTCGAACCGTGTCCTTCCTATCCGATTCTATACGGACACGTTCTCTCCACTGAGGCACTATCACCTTCACCGTCACTGTCGGCGACAGAGGCGTTAGAGGATGTGGTATATTTACAATCGATGGAGACTGCGGCAGCGGCGGTAGCCTCTTCGGTGAAGACTGCGGTGATGACACCGACTCTATCGCTTCCTTTACCCTTGACGGCGTATTTGGCATCGACATCCGCAATGGCGACGATGAAAAATCTTCGGTCCCAAACGGATAGTTTTCATATGACGTCGGAAGTAGCTGCATTGACGGACTCCACGGCGGATTATCAGATGGATTGTATTCCTTATTTAAAAATGTTGGAAGTTTCAGATCCGGTGCTGGCTGCGTCGGTGGGACAGAGTCGGTTATCGACGGCGACAAGTCTTGGTGGATCTCCGGCGGCAGCGGAGAATGCATCGGAGAGGACAATGGCGCCGGTAGAGGCGATGACGCCAGTGAGGGAGATGACACCGGTGACGGCGGCAAATTTAAGCCGCGAACTACCGTCGGAGATTGCGACAAGATTAAGTCTCGCACAGGCGCTGGCGACAGCGGCAAGATTAAGTCTTGCACAGGCGCTGGCGGCAAGATTAAGTCTTGCAAGTCTAAGTCACGCACCTGCGCCTGCGATGTAGGGAATTCTGATTGGCGCTCTGGCGATGAAGACGACGGCATGTTTAAGTCACACTCTGGCTCCAAATTTGAGCGTTTGGCCGGCTATCTATCAATTTTGACGGCAATGCCTGAGCCGTTTTCAATGAAGCATTCCTGAACGTTTTGATAGTCAGAGAGAACTTGGCTATCGTGGATGATGACTTGTTGGCGAACGGGAAGGCATTGACTTCTTTGCACCTTCAACTTGATATCACGTATAGTTTCGGAGGGATCAACTTGAAAGGAGAATGGTACCCCTCCCTCAATCAATACATACACATGTATCACGTCAATCACTTCATCACCCACTCACTGGGCCCAGCCACCTTTCATGCTTCCATTATATAGCTTCTTGAAAAAGTGTCTCTTCCCTCTCGGCTTCGTCGCTTCCGCTCCTGTTTGTTTAGACGATATAGATTTTCATGCATTTTTATGTATAAAAATAGAGAAAAACATTTTATTTTCTCGTCTACAAAAAAACTGAACTATTTTTAAATTATCGATTATAGAATTATTCGTAATGCATTGTGTAAGTAAATATAATCAATTATATTTAAAAATTTTATTTAATATATACATATTTTTATATTATTATAATAATCAATAATTTAAAAAAATTATATTAAAATAATAAACAAATTTATTAATAATAAATAAAATTATTTTATTTTTTATTTATTTTTACTCTTTTTCCCTTTATTTAAATAATTCTACTTTTTACTCTCTTTCTCACTCTTTTATATATAATCTTTAATCCAAACAAATCATTACTCTTTGCATATTTAATTTCCGTACAATAAAAGAGTTGTACATTCACACCTTTTGAGAAGAAAATAAACATTCTACAACTTCGTTATACTAATACAGAAATTATAAAATTACTGATTATAACTATTATTATTTTATTGATAAAATTAAAGTGCAAAAATGATTATTTTTATCAATTAATATTTTTAGTAAAACATATAATATTTTAATAACCAAAATTTAGAAAGTCATCTTTTATTTAATTTTTTATTCGCTTAAATTTACTTTCTATCCAAATTTGAACCATGTCTTTTTCAAAACTAGTTTTGAAAAATATAAGTTAAACTCATTTCTCAAAATATAAACTAAGTCCTCACATTAGTGTGATTATTCGACTTTTTTGTTTTTATAAAATTGGTGTAATTATTTTTCATATTTATTGATATGGATAAATTAAATATATATATATATATATATATATATATATATTATTTAGAAAGAAATAGTACTTTCTATCCGTAAGATTTCTATTATAATAATTATGTTATATTATTATAAATAATAAAAATAATAAAATTTATATTATTTTCATTATTAAAACTAATAATTAATATACTATTTTATTATTACTAATATTAAAATAATAATAGTATAATAATAAAATAAAATAATTATAATTATTAATATATTATTATATCAATAATATAAATATTTTAATTATTATTTTTTATTACTGATTATAATAATAATAATAATAATTAAATTATATAATAAAAAATTGTTATTGTATTTACAACAATAAAATAATAAAAATAATACTAATTTAATTATTATATTTTAATAATTATCATGATTATATTATAAAAAATAATATTATTATAACTTATAATAATAATAATTTTAATTTATCTAATTATTGATTATTTTATTTATATATTTATATACTTTTATAATAAAATTATATATAACGGTTTAATATAAGTGATATTTTAATTAGATTAACATATCTAACATTAAATTTCTTTGTACGAATACATGAAAATAAAGAAAGAAAAAATATAAAATAAGTGGAAAATTAAACTATATCATAAATTTATAAAATAAACTGAAACTATAATAGTTATTAGTTTTAATAATAATAATACTAATTTAAGTATTATTATTATTATTATTTATTTTATTAATAATATAAAAATATTATTAATTATAATACTAATTATTATTATTATAATCTGATAATAAAAATATACTAGATAATAAGATTTATCTAAATTTATAATTTTATTAAATTTTATCCGTATCGATAAATTAAAAAAAAACTACATTAATTTGATTAAAAAAACCTATTATTGTGCCGTGTAATGATAAATAACAACATTTATAATAAGAATAAATTAATTTATTATTTTTAAAAATATAAAATAAAATTTACGATATTATATTATTTTTAATCAATTCATCTTTATAATTTTTTAAAATTTAATATCCTAACCAATTATCAACCAATTTTAAACATCTTGTAATTGCTCACACGATTTGTTATTCAGTAGGAGCGAAGTGAGACTTAATGCTTCAAAGCGTGACTTCTTCACTGGATACATATGGATGATATCAATGATGTCATCATCTCATGGGTTTCAGTCATCACATGGTCATTCTTCTTGGTAGTTAAAAATAACGATAGTATTGGGAAGAACACTGGTGAAACTTCTCCCACTCTTACCTCTCAAATCTCAATTAAACAATTCACTTCCAACACGATCTTCTGAGTTTCTGTCTTTGTGTTTACCATCTTTGCCCCCAAAGCAATGTCACCATCAGCGGTCACAGATAAGAAAGTGATTAAGAGAGTAAGATGCTGTTGTTTCGAGAAATGAAGGGTATAATTAGGTATTTATAAGTTTAATTTTTTTATTCTTTTTTACTTTCTAGATTTGTAATCCTCCAATATTTTACTTAAACGAGATGTTTAATCAAAATATTTAAAATTAACTAAATCTAAACTAACAATATATATGTTTAAATAAAATATCTAAACTAACATTTAATTCTAATATTTATTTTTTTGATAAAATTTTTCTTTTAAAACAAAATTTTATCTTCAATTAATTGAAGATAGGATAAAAATCAATGATAAACTTTAATATATTTTTCATTTAAGTTATGATTTTTCATTGATCTTTTATAACTAGAATATATATTTTATACTTGATACGTTGAGCATAGTTCAACAAGCCAATTAATTGCGCTCACATATAGTTGCATTTTATAATTTATATTTTCTTGTCAATAACAATTTGTCTTTTCATCGTTTTTTTTTTTACTTTCCAATCTCAATATATTTTTTCTCTTTTGAATTCATTTTGTACACTTCTTTCGAAACATTTTTATTCTTAAAAGAATACAATGATGAATGAACTTGGACAAGGTTCAAAAGAATACAATAATGAATGAGCTTGGACAAGGTTCCTTCGAAACTCAGATTTAGCTTGACCAAGTTTAACTTTGCACTAGAAAGAGTGGGAGATCCACAATATACTGACTTTTTATTTCTTCCTCTACTTTGTTCATCGTTAGATCCTGGTTTTCATCACAATAAACATCATGATCGTCATTACAACTCGATTAGACCACAAAAATATAGGTGATCAGATTGATGATCTCTCCTCACCTATGTCTTTTATGTTAAGCTTCAAGCATCTCTCATGAATGTTTTTCAAGTTCAGCTTATATATTCTATTCTTTTTTATCTCAACTCGGTCAATCATCCTTCAAAGCTTGTCTTTCAATGATAGTACTTGGTCCTTCATGAAAAGTGAGTATCCCTTCTCCATAAGTTATACCCATGAAAGCATTGAGGGGAAGATTGATGAAAATGTGAAACATGTCCCTATATTCCAAAAAGATGATTTTGATGATGATTCATGTCAACAACATTCAAAACTCTAGCAAGCCCAAGATGAAGTCTGAACACTAGATATACATTCTAAAAAATATGATGATTCAAGCAAGTCCAAGATAATTCTTAAAGACTAGATAGAGTCTTAGAACACTGGATATGTAGATACAAGTTGATGAAGTGGTATTAATCATAAACCTCCAAAGCACAAGTGTGATAAAATTTTGAAACATGACATTTTTCATTGTCATAATCAATTATGATGCATCAGAAATGGAAAAACGATTTTCTCTTTGTCATAATCGATTATACTGGTAACATAATCGATTATGACAGTTCAAATTTGAAAAATATATCCGTTTTGAAAAATAAATATTTTTTAATACATCCTGATTTTTCTTACGAAATTATTAATAACCAACGACTATTTTCTGATGTTATTTTCCTATTTAAATGAGTTTTGATGAAAAATAAAAAATACACAATTCGAAAATACAATTTTACATTAATTCAGTTTTAAGAAAAGAATTCTGAGCAATGCAACAGAGAGATATTTTACACTTTCTAATAAAACTTTCTTCTCTACTGCCTTTTACACTTTCATTGTTAATCACATTTATTCTTGGAGGTTGACATTCTACATGTTTCTACAATTTGTTATCTACGTTACCAGGTATGATTGTTCTTGTCTTTTTTTAGGAAGTTGATGTTAAATTCCCTCTTTAGGGTTTAAGTGATTGTTGTTATTCTATTATATTTCCTTGGGTTTTTTGTGTGGAAAATGTTCATCCCTAGTGTGATTATAGGAAGATGTTCATCCATTATGTATTGGTTGCAAATGAGGTGTTTTTCATCCTTTGATTTGTTCAGAGGAGATGTTCATCCCTAGTGGAATTCTAGGGAGATGTTCATCATTAGTGGATTTCTAAGGAGGTAATTGTCTTTTTAATTAGTTTACTTTTTACTGGTTCATCTGCTGAGTTGATTGTAATTTTTAAACTGAATTTGAAATATAATGAATTGGGGTCACTCTTGTGATTAGAGTTGACTGGGAACTGGATGTAGGATTGACTATATTCGAACCAGTATAAATTGTTGTGTGCTCCTCTCTTGTGCTCTTTTCTTTTCCCTATATTTATGTGTTTACATCCTCCCTTTTTATCCCTCTCGATTATATTATCGTTTTCACTTTATATGTATTCAATTTGATAATTAAAATTGAATTAATAAATTATTAGACATCTTAAAATAATTTTTTAATTTGTCATCTATTTCAATTTGTGCATCTATTCACCCTCCTCTAGATGTCATTTGTCTAACAACTCAAAATGTTACTCATGAGATATGGAACATAGTATACATAACATCTCATATTGACTCGACTAGGTCATCTCACTATAAGAAACAAATAGTACCTCATTATTTTACTAAGACCTTCAAAGCATCTCCAAAAGACACATGACTGCCCTCAACTTTCTCCAATTCGCTAAATAGGTATTCGTCCCCACACATATGCTTACTTACACTTATATCCCAATACTATACCGAATTGTGATCGGTATTTTTTTAAACTTCATCACTACTATTTGTTGAATTAAGATTGGTCATCAAAATTGTTGCTTCTGTCTCCTTTGTGAGATAAGTCTCTTCCATATTTTTCTCAGTTTGACATTCTTTCGCAAAATGTCCTACTTTACCACAATTGTAACACTTATATGTGTAACAATTATTTGTACAATGGTCATATTTGTCAAAATTAAAACACTCAACATTTGAGTGACTCATCCACCAACCTCCTCTCCGACCACATCTTCTACCACATAAGTTTTGTTGGTTTTTTTCTTTCTCCTCACAATCTCTATCATTTTAGCCTCGATCATTATATCCTTGTCCTCTACCTCGAGTGTTTTGAGAATAAAATTTTTTATCTTATTTCACATTTGTCTCACTCTAGAGCACTTGAATTGTTGTCCCTTCCTTCTTTTTCTTCTTCTGGTACTCATGGGCTTCAAGAGAAGCAATCAACTCTTGTACAGTAAGTTCGAACGGTCTTCAGAAAATGTCTCTCCAGTCCAATTAAATTAGTTCACCATGGTTTGAATGCATGTGATTTACTCAAAAATTCCTTCTAACTCCTTCATTCTCATGTTCTTCATCTTGTCACGTAATGTTCGTAGCCACACTCGTTTGACTCAATCATTGCCCTGATATGCTCTTTCCAATGCATTTCACATTTATTTTGAAGTTTTAACATTTATTATCTTCTCAAAGTTGTATTTATCAACATCTCCATACAACATGTATAGGGTTGCATCCTTCACACACTTTACTTTTAACACTTTGTTGAAAAACTTTATGATTCTTTAAAACCATCATGGACTATCTTCTTAAAATCTAAAAAGGTATTCATATGTAAATTATAATTATTATAATTGACTATTTTTGTCAACTCAAACAAGATTACATTATTTGATAAAATGATCATCGTTATTTAATTTCTCTCACACTTAAACACTAGCTTTCAATACCATTTATAACAAAGATATTAATAAAATAAAGTTATTAGTTTCTATGTTATTAAAAAAAAATCCAACTCAGAATTTATAGGTTTAGTTTCACATATCTATAATATAAAATATCTTATTGATCAAAATATCCAAATCTAACTTAAATATTTACTAAATCCAAATTAACAAAAATATATTAAATAAATATCAACAATATCATTTAAATCCAATATTTAATTTCCCACGATTATATTTTCACACCCTTACTCACTTTTATTAATATTTTATTAATATAATAATCATTAAAAGGTTAAATGAAAATAAAAATAAAAAGTTAAAATTATTATTATTATAATATAAAATGCAGTTTTTTATGGTTTCAACAGTGGTTTTCAAAGTAGTTTTTTCCTTCAATTTTTCAACCGCCACACACTAAAAAGGTAAAATTCGTGTGTGATTCTGGTTCGGGCGATTTTTTATGCACGGAAACAACCGAAGCATTTAGCATCCCGCAATCTCGCAGCGACGATCCGTCACGCAATTCCTCAGCCGATTTTAACCGCAGGAACATCTCGTTTTCGTTTAGGTTCTAGGTTTCTTCGTTCTGTTAATCTTCTCCTTCAGCTGCATAACGGTGTCGTCCAGATCCATCACTAAGGTGAAATGCCTCGCTCTGTATTCAACAGTTTTCACCATGAACCTGACTATTTCCGGCGGTGTTGGAAGAAGCGGCCGGAATGTTGTCTCCGATGGCGCGCTGGAATCGACAACAGCAGCTCTTCTAACTCGCCTCTATTTGATGTCGGATTTTCCGTAATCCAATGCAACATCTCTCCGTAGTCGTTTTTATTCGGTGGCGGAAACTGCAGCCGCAACGTCAACCATAGCCAGGTGGCCGTGACGGCAGGGCGGGGTTGGCGAAATTTTAGAGCTCAACTAGGAGTTTCATGCGAGAGTGTTGAGTGATATGGGTGTGGAAGATTATTACGTCGTCGTTTGAAGAATTTGACAGTTGAAAAGGAAAGTTTGGAAAGAAGCAGGAATGGCCATATATTTCTCTACCTTCAGTTTGATTTGAGAAGGATGATGATATTTACACAACTCCAATTACACAAACAACCATAATCTATTCAACCAATATAACAATGAGAGATCTGTGGGCTTTTTTTACTAGCACGATTTTAACCCGCAAATAAATGTTGGTGAAATATGAATCATGTTGATTTTGATATGCATACGGATTAGAATTGATCATAGTTGGAGGTTGATAAAAATTTACGTGAGTTAAATAAAATCATGGACCTATAAAGATGTGAAAAATGAACCCGTTTGAAATACCATTTCTTAAAAAAAAAAAAAAAATGAAAGTTGTTTTCAAACACTTCAATGCATGCCTTTATTCACGTAGAATATGAACTAATGAGCTTACAACTTTTATTTTTTTTATGATTTACGCAATTACTATCATTCATCACTACAAATTTACTATGATAACGACTAAGTAACATCCTTGTAACAAATTTAACTAACAAACATGTTTTTGTTCCTTAGAAACCACACTTGATGTTTTCATTTCATACTAACCGATTATCGTGCATGCATGCATGACTTCTTCACCATCTACAACTGGTTGATCGACCAGGTGAGGACGGTTGGGTAGGGTAGACTTCAATGGTGTCACCCTCTTTAATGCCTAACATCTCAAACGACTCCATTTCAGACACCAGAATGATGTTCTTGCTTTTAAAAAAGTAATCAAGATTTTCGGGAAGAACATGTTGGTGACACTTCTCCAATTCAAACCTCAAATCTTCCAAAGAGCTACGAGAATTAACCTCCATGTGTATCTTCTCAGCCCCCCACTGGGGAACCACAATCACCTTCAACATCTTCCCAGATTTTAAACGAGCAACACTCATTGCGGCTACATCTGATCTTTTATACACGTAAACATATGCCATATTAAGCATACCGCACTCTAGCATAGACATATGGTCATGCAACTCATCACCAAATTTTGTTATCACCATCATATCTTTAACCGTTAGGCTTCGAGGTTTCTTCGCTTTAATAAACGCCTGCTTCAGCTGCAGAACGGTGTCGTTCAGAGTCATTCGCATGAAGAGAGGAACCCGCCTCACATCCTTGCTTTTAACCTTGAACGAGACTTTATTAGGCAGCGGAAACTGTTCCTCCGGCGGCGCGTGTGTCATCGAGGATATAAACTCTTCTATTTTGGCTGGATTTTCTGGGAGCACCACCGATGCGTTCGACGGGTCGTCCATAGGAAACGACATATTTTGTGCGTCCGGAATCGACGAGAGCATTTCTTGCATCTCATCTCTATCTAGTTTAGACACGTTCGTAATCCACTGCGGCAGATCATACTCGTTTATACTGGGCCGAACCAAGAGTTGAAGGCAAGGAGAGATTTCAGAGATGGTGTCGATGAACAAGGCCTCGTTTTGAAGAACTTGACCATTGAAGAGTAGTGTTTGCCGGTCAACAGGAATGTTCGTCAAGGTCTTTATTTTTTCTTTGATTTCTTGAAACGTGTTCGACAATTCTACTCTCATACAGAACACAGCCTCGTACTTCAATACAAAAGTCACATCCATGCCACTACCAAAATCAACAAATTCTGAAAAGGAAATGCAGGTGAATGTTACACGCAATGAGCTTAATACACTCTCCTTCCTTCATTCCTATTTTTGTTTCAGTTTAACATACTACGTAACAACATTTCTAGCAAAAGGTTCTTTGCTGTGAATTTTATTGCACGGAATTAATTATTGGAATTTTTTCGTCAGATTCAAGAAAATATTACAGAGTTCAAAGAGAGAGAAGAATATCCTATGTACCTGCTCAAATGTTGTTCTGTATTTTCCTTCACATTTCGCAGATGAAACACTTAAAATTCGAATATCAGGGTCACGTGTATCAATAAAATTCACTCCTCTCTCTATATATATACACAAGTTTAAATGGGTTTAGGAACATCATTTTACATCCTAAATACCAGACATTGTAATTGATTGAATAAAATAATACCATTACACACTATATTATACGGAGCTTCTTAATAAACTAGATACTATACCGTCGGGAAATAATTTTATGGAGTTGGTAATATATTTTTGTTCCATATCATTGATGTTAAATATGCATATGTTTATTGCATACTGAAAATCAATGTAGGTGTAAACTTTTTCATTTTGGTCTTAATAAAAATTGAAGAGAAATAGTTATTAATTAATATAATTTAATAGGTTCAAAGAAAATAACCAAATATTTCCTTGTTATTATTTTGGAGTGAATAGGAGAAAAGTTTGTGATGAATAAAGACTACATAACTAACAAACTAATTAATTAACGAACTAACGTCTCCACGAACTAACAGACACGTGAGTAAGCACTGCACTTAATTTGTTATTCAAGCATAGACCAATCATGCCCTCAGCATTTAGCGTTTGAGTTTTCCTCATTTTGATTAACTTCTTCTTCAGCTGCAGAACGGTGTCGTTCAGATCCACTTAATTTGTTATTCAAGCATAGACCAATGTTCATGCCCTCAGCATTTAGCGTTTGAGTTTTCCTCATTTTGATTAACTTCTTCTTCAGCTGCAGAACGGTGTCGTTCAGATCCACTTGTACGGTCGAGGAGCTCTTTCCACCACGATCGTAGTAGACAGAGATGGACACAGTGTAAGATCTTCACGACGATATATATTTTTCTAACTCCTCTTTATTTTCTGTCAGCACTTTCGGAGGCAACGAAGAGTTGAACGCGAGAGTGTTTGGAGATGCCGGCATAGATGAAGAATGCATCGTTTTGAAGAAGTTGGCCATTGAAGAGTAGCGTTTGGAGTTCAATGGGAATGTCCGTGAAGTCCAACTACCCCACTCTAATACACAACGTAGTCTCATTCTCCAATACAAATCTCCCATCCATGTCTCACACTAACAAAATTAACAACAAAATGAAATTTAAGATAGTTATATTTTATTATGATATTTCTTTCTTTTTAACTAATTTATATTATATTTTTATAAGTTTTGTTAATTTAAAGACTCCATGCTACATCAAAAGTTTATCAATATGTCATAATAGAAGTTTACTATAAGAATTCAATCTTAAATTTAAAACCCTCCGTAATATCTCTCTTATGTGCATAAGTAATAAGTGTGGATGTATAAAATTTTACCTTACGAATTCACTCCTAAAACCGAGACAAATAACAATGGTTAAGATATCCTAAAACTAAGACACTCGCTACCTTACTTACCTACACGTATAAAAACATTTTGATCGACTGAACACACTGCATGAACTCTGTTTATACAGAGCAAGTTAGGATTAAAAAATACTACTTACAAATTAATTACTCAAAAAAATATAGAGTCCTACCATCTAGTTCACCAAAACTTTTTGTTATACATAAAAAAAAAAATGCGCTGATACTTTAAATACGGTTAAAACTAATGAAAACATTATTTACTAGTGATTAATTATAATAAACATTTCACAATTAAATATGTATTATTAATATTAAGTAGTATATTAAATATTAAATTATAAAATGAAGTACTTTAAAATATTAAACTACTTTAAAAACCTTCTGGTAAGCAAGCAACACTAGGAGGAATCTCAAGTCTAAGCTAGCAACGCAAACCGTGATATACACTACAGAAAGAGTGGAAGGATAAATATTTCAGATACATCTACATTCAACTCACAACTATGCTGTAACATGCTGATATTTCATATAATCCCATTAAATTTGTTGCACAAAACCACTTCCAAACATCCGATTGTAGCAAGATTGAGGCTCAACTCAACTACCTGATTCATTGAAACAAAAAAGCAATATCGAATGCGGTATTCTTTAGACTTTACTGTTTACAGGCTGTCAGAGAACATGTTTAAATTCAGTAAGTTTCTTTTTATGGTTTCCACGATTTCGTGGTTGACATGAATAATTATGCTTCTATCACCATCCTCCCCCAAATCAATTTGCAGCTTTCTAATTGTAACTGTCACTTCGTGGTTCAGTTCAACTCCAAAATTGAAACAAAATTTAGTACTTTAAAAGCAGCAGATGATGAGACCATTAATGCAGCTATCTTCTGCGCTTTGATTCTTTCCGCATCTCTGCTACATAGCTCTCCATATTGGACTTCTCCCATAAGCGTTTGAGCACAAGATCTTCCTTTGTTGCTTCATCTATTAATAACAGGCACCAAATAAGAACCAGTGACATACATACTAGTAGGTTAGGCCATGCTTGTAGAATCCAAAACAAGTAACCCTAAAAAAAACACAGATAATTCCCCGATTTACATGGTATCTAAAGAAGAAAGTTCAACGAGGTAAATTATAATTACCTATATTTCTCCATCTATCGAGAGGAATACCAAGAGATCTTTGTGTCAGATAAGAAGCATCCTCCCAAGAAAAAGGGTGCTTTTTCACTTTGTATCTCCAAAACCAGCAGGAAGACCACAACAGCAGCTGAATAGAAAACAGAACTTTAGATATTAGAGAAATGAAAGATTCATGGTGAGTAGCTACATTTTCTAGATAAAAGATTGAACTCTAACCTTGCCCAAGGTATAAGGTAATAGAACAAAGCGGACACCGAGAAGTTTCCACACAGAGGGCCTTTCAGCTCCAGTTATCTGCAGGTCGAGCTCATTGCTAAGGTCTTTCTCCACTTTCCTGCATGCATAGATTCCTCACATTGCGTCATTGTAAGTCAAAAGTAAAGAAATCGCAGTCAATAAAGTGCAATCTTACAAATGACAAACAAACTGATTTAACAAAGGAAATAGGAGTTTTCAAAGTGGAGAACCAATTTGAACTGGTCACAGGAGACTAGATATGGTGCAACTGAAAAACTTTTATAGGAAATCACTTAAAACAACTATAGGTGGGATTTATTTGAAGGTATGTAACTAAATTCCCAAGAAAATTATTCCTGCGCAAACTAAACGCCATGTTTGGTTAAGCTTTAATATTTTCATGAATGTTTTCACAACAATCAAATATATTTATATAAAAAAAAGTGGGAAAGAAAGTTATTAGTTGTAATATACGATAACGTCCAACAATTCCATGGGAATGGAATCTAAGCAAACTATGAAGACAATCCATTCCTAGGAATCAACTACGTATGAGAATTTTTTTAAGACTTGTAACATGGGAATCTTATTTTCCTAAGTTCATATTCCTGGGAACAATTTTGCAAAACTTGAAACAAATACAGACTCATACAGAATGAGGATGATACATACTTGATCGAATTCTTCTGACTCTTCTTCTTGTTTGTAATCCCTCCACTGCGTTCAAGTTCCAAAGCCCTTAGTTTATTTTTATATGCAGGTGTCTTCTTGACCATGGCTACAGCCTAAAAACAGAAAAGTCAGTGCAATGAACGTAGATATATCTTAATCTTTCAAAAACATTTGTACCAATAACAAATTAAGTCATTTGCACAAAAAGAAATGACATATATCCACCAAAGGAAATTTGCACAGGCCTGACCTATTTCAAATCTTATTCATGCATCCAAGACTGTAAACCATGGTAAAACATTCTAGTGGCAATGATGATTTAACTCATTGGACATGTATGGATAGGAAAATTTTCACCCTAAAACTTGGGGCACCGGCAACCCTTCACTTCATGACGTAATTACATTCCTTGCTAAAATATTTTCCAAACCCCTTAACAGCATTGGGCTCAACTACTGGGCATAAGTCTGATAAGTACAACTTTTTTTTTTGTATCTGTACAATGGTAAATGATGTTCAACCTAAAAACTACCCAAAGGCACTAACACCATGCCGACCCTAGTTGGCTAGCCAAATACAATCTTTAACACCGCTGGAACAGCTCGTCAACCTTTAGCTAGCCAATTAGAGAATATTATAAAATGTACATTTTACATAAGAAAGATCTACTATTCCTGAGTTTTGAAATGTACATTATAATGAACCATATAATATTCAATATATCACAATACCTGATTATACCTTGTTGATTGATTTAGATACTGAAAACCTGAAAGAATAATAAGAAGGCCAACCAACACAGCACGAGGATCCTGGCAGTTAGAAAAAGGTACATGAGTTCTACAAAATGAGACTCACTTGCAACAATCAATCATTTTCTAATCAATTTGATCCAAAATTCATCCATGATTCCAATTGCAAACTAACAAATCTCACCGTCTTGTGACCATAGTATGCCCGATAGTAGCGCGCAGTATTATAAAACACCTGAAATCAAGAGATGAAAACACAGCTCTACTTCAACAAACACACTAAAAGGACAAAGATGAACAATTCAGGGATATTGACCCAAATTTTAAAAATAAACCAAGCTTTCTATAAAAGTCTAAAAACCTCCTCCGGATGTGCAATTGCATAATCATATTGTTCGCGCGTGGCCTCATCCTTTAAAATCTGTAAAGTTATATAACTTGGTAGCATCAGAACCAACATCTCACCAAATACAGAGCAATGTGGTCAATTTTCAATTTACTCCGCATGGCAACACGTTTAGTTTTATCAAATCCACACTCCTACATTCAAATCATTGAACAAAAAAAAACTACAAAACCAAAGTACCTCATAAGCATTGGCGATTTTAACAAACAGCTTTCGCGATTCTGGATCAGGGTTCTTATCTGGATGACTGAATTAAAGAAGAAACCAAAGAGAAAGAAATTATTTTAGAGAAGAGAAAAGAAAAAAAGAGAGTGAAAGAAAGAGCGAGTTAAGGAGAAGTTGTAGTAAGAGAAACACGTACTACTTCAAAGATAGTTTGTAGTAAGCTTTCTTGATTTCGGAAGCATTGGCACTTTGAGAAACCCTGCGAATGAGAAGAGGAAGGAGCGTCACGATAAGAGATAAAGCATGGGTTAAAAACAATTGAAGGAAGAAAAGGAATGTTAGCTGACCCAAGCAAATCATAGCAATCATCTTCGTCGCAGTAGATTGCGCGCGAAGGGGAGACAGTCGATAGAAGGAGGACCGCCACGAGAAATGGGATGGCGGTCGTGCGCCACCGGAGCGGTGCCGGCGGCGGATCCATGACGGCGAAGACGGTGAAGTTTTCTCTTTTCTTCCCTACTTTGTCTCTGTTGACCCAAACTCCAGACACAAATGTTCTCTCTTGCCACAATTCCGATCTAAATTCGGGTCTTCCATGCTAAGCGAATTCCTTTTTTTTTTAATTATTTTTTAATCTTTTACATTTTTATTAGATTTAATTTAATTGTATGTTTTTAATTATGTAATATTTAATATTGAAAAATATTTTTTCATAAGTTTAAAAATAGATCTAACAATAAATTTAAATATAATAACAGCTAAAAGCTACCATAAAATAAAAAAAGTAAAAATTAAAAAGAGACGAGGATCTTTATAATTTTTCCAAGAGTAATGAAATATATATATATATATATATATATATATATATATATATATATATATATATATATATATATATATATATATATTTATGTAACTCATCTGCCATTTTATTGAATATTTAAATTTTCATTGTTATAGCAATATTAAAATGGATTGTGAAATGAATATTTAGCTTGACTGAACTGTTTACATCTAATTTTCCTTTTTTTTCAATCCTTTTTATTTTATTCCATGTCTTGTATTTGTGTGCACACCTTTTTTCTAAAAAAAGTGGTTATCAAAATATTAAGAGAAAATTATAATTTTAAAAACTAATTAGAAAATTTATTATAAAATATTATAGGTAAAATAATTGTTTATGTATACCGGTTCAAAATTATTAACCGATTAAATCGGTCAAAACCTATTAAAGATATTATTTTTATTTAGTTTGTTATTAATTATCCGATATAATATTTTATATTAGTTATTATTTTATGAGTTATTAGTTCTTATATTTCAATTTATTATTTTTTTTTTAATAATATATAAAAGGAATCTAACTAAGGAATAAATATCACCTCATAATTCATTCTTATATACATTTGTCTAAAAGCTGACTTGAGCATAGTGTTTTTTCAGATGGGCCTCTGTGTTTTCCCAGAGATCATCTTTAGAGCTGATTCGAAGATCAGTCAACCAATCTCATATTTCTGTCTTACCGACTATCTTAAACTCATAATTCATTCTCATATACATTTGTCTAAAAGCTGACTTAAGCATCAAAATGTTTTTTGCAGGTGGGTCTCTGTGCTTTCCCGGAGATCATCTTTAAAGTTGGTTTGAAGATCAGTCAACCGACCTCATATTTCTGTCTTGTCGATCACCTTCAGCTTGGTAAACATTTTGTCGATCATCTTCAACTCGATAAGAATATTTTGCGCCCATTATGCGGTCTATTAAAACGTCCCCCATGATCTCTTCCGTCATATAGTTCTAACCCGTAGCCAGACGGTATCCAACCCTAACAACATGGATCATTTGCCAACCATCTTCAACTCGGTAAGAACATTTGGCGCCCACTGTGGGGTCCAGTAAAACATCCCCATGATCTCTTTCGTCCTATGGTTTTAACCCGTAGCCAGACGGTATCCAACCCTAGCAACATGGATCCCTCAGTCGTCATTGACAACCTTAAGAAACATATGGATGAATATCAACAAATAACTCAAGAAGAGATAAAGAATTTGCAAGAGCAGAACAATGCTAAGCTACTTTATATCCAACAAAAGGCAAGAGCAGAATAATGTTAAGCTACTTTAGATTCAGATCTAGCAATTCAACAAAAGTTGGTCGATGAACTGCAGTTAATCAAGAAACAATATGAGACCGAGTTCCATACACTGCGTAATGAAATGAAGATGCTACTCCAATGACCACAAACAACTAGGTTGAATACGCATAAGGAAGGAACAACAACATCACGTCAACCACGTACCACGCAGTCCTTAGCCCCGACCAACAAAATAGGTCTGAAAGTTTGAGATCAAGAACAATCCAAAGCTTCTGCCCAGGGAGCGGACATTCCACCTAAACCAAGTGACAGACCTCCAAACTCTAGGAGGGCAAATCATTCAAGGGAGTAGGGAAGTCACAGACACACTAATGAAGCCACACCTCGGCTTCCGCCTTCGAAAAAACCTACCATACAAGCTCAACCTCGAGCCCAACCTACACAAACCCAAAGAATCGAAATTCAAGAGGAGGACAACAACCACCCATTTGTCCCAGGAATCATGCAAATGCATTTCCCACCTAATTGAAAACCTAAGGCATAGGTAAAAATGTATACCAACAACTGAGTCATCCTTTGTCGATTGTTTCTCACCACATTGAGAGGAGCCACATTACGATGGTATAATTCCCTACCATATAATTCAATAGATTCGTACTATACATTGGCAGAACGATTCTGAGTTAGGTTTGCGGCCAGTAATATACACGAAGTCACATTAGTAGCCCTAAAAGGCATGAAACAAGGTGAAAATAAGTCACATTATGGATCATTCGCACTAGTTTCAAATACAATACCAAACCTCCACCCAAAAGTAGCTCTACATGCCATATTATGTGCCCTACAACCAGGACCCTTAATGAACAGTTGTTTTGCTTATCCACCAAGGTCCCTTAATGAGTTACGCACTCAAACAATCAATTATATTCGAATGGAAGATAATAATATCGTAGGACCCTTAATAGATAGTTGCTTTGTTTATCCACCAAGGTCCCTTGATGAGTTACACACTCAAGCAGCCAATTATATCCGAATGGAAGATAACAATATCTTATACAAGAAAAATTATAAAAGTGACTCTCAAGCACCTTTTACTCAACCTTTTAAAAAGCCTAGGACCACCAAATATGAGCGATATACACCCTTAAACACTAATCAGGAAGCAATCTTTTAAGAAGTGTTTAATCTAGAACTCGTACATGCTCCTCCCCCATTTCACTTATAAAAATACTGAAATTTGTTTACACTAGGCTCAATACTTAATAGAGAACACAAAATATGAAAGGCCTTGAGAATAGTCCAATTATTGGGATGGAGTTGGGTAGGTGTTACATTTAACTTAGTTAACATAGCGCATTCAAAGTCTCTAAAGGGGAGGCTTACATCCAAATCTTTAAACCAACACTCATAGGCAAAAAAGAACTAGTCCATACCACTTTGGTATCTCGATCCAAAGGCGAACAATGTTATGCTACCAATAACTTTAGATTATCCTCTGAAGCAATATTGATGTATTGACAAAAACTAAGAACAGACAAAGGGGAAAAAAACTTAGAAATATAAGAATCTACAGTACCAGAAACCCATGAATATTCAGAACTACTTGTCAACCCTAAAGCGATTCTCATTTTTCTCACAGATACAACATTAGGTTTGCTAGCATGTAAACCGATGTAGAAGTATCAAGAATGTACCGATTGATGTAGTGGATACGTAGAAGGAAGACTCAAAGATGAAAGAATGCCCAAACAAAACAAGAGAAAAGAGAAACGTGAAAATGAGAGAAATGTGAAAATGGAAAACACGAAATTTGTAACGATCCTAGAAATCGCTATTATAATGATGCCTTTGTAAAATAGTAAACAAGTAAATAACAACATCTCTATTATATTATATTACTGTAATTGTAATATAGACTGAAATCTCTATTCATTGACGGAACTTCAAAATATAGTATCATAACTTATTTATATAACTGCATACAAAAGTATCTCCCACAAAGACCATCCTAGTAAACTATTCCTACTACCCATTAGTCGCATCTTCACCTCTCAACTCCTGATATGCTCTAACATAAAAGTAATCATCGCAATCTCATCCACATGAAAAATAGGGAGTAAGTATTAAGTCATTCAATATAATAAAATAGATATAGAATTAATAATTACATATTATCATCAATTACAAATCATCAATACACTAGGACGCCTTCCGGAAGTCTACCCTAACTATGCCCGAACTCAGAGGTTATCATCTGTGGACATATTGTGGTCGGCACTCGCAGTACCATTCTGAACTCTCCACACAGAGTGGGATTACTAGCGTCCTTCATCACTCATCCTGGAGTACCCCTCCACCACCAGTCATCCCCCATCGACTTCTCACCACCTAATCTCATAGTTTACCTGACCCGACCAATCAGAGAAGTCTGGGACCTCATCTGAATCCTCTGACATAGTTAGTACATTAATGTACTTTGTACCACCCCGGGTACCAACCAAACACAATAATAATCATTTACATCTGCCTAAATATGGACCATCTATCCTTACGGCTCATTCGGGTCAACAAATAATAGTATTTGACTGATTCTGGGCGCCAACCCTCCGGCTTAGTCTAGTCAATACATAATATCTCATGACTGATTCTGGACATCAACCCTCATGTTCAGTCTGACCCACACAGTCACAACACACTGCTGAATTTTTAATTTCATTCTATATTTTAATTATTTTTCTAATATACCTTTACTTTATTTCTAAAATTCCAATTATATCCTTAAACATTTTCTATTATTTCTTTCGCATCCCAAAATCATTAAATTATTATTTTGCCTTTAATTTTTTCTCAAAATTTCATATGTCCCTAGGATGACTATTTCACCCTTAATTTTTTCTCATAATTCCTTCCAAGTCATGAAAATGACTATTTTACCCTTGAACATTTCATATTATTTCCTCCATGTCCCGAAATCATTATTAAATTACCATTATACCCTTAATCTTTTTTTCAAAATTTCATTTATGTCCATAGGATGTGAAATGACTATTTTGCCCTTGATTTTTTTCAAAAATTCCTCTTTTACCCCTTTCTTCAAGCTTGCGTCCAGTAACCATATCAAATTTTCCAGATTTCAAATTTTTCAGTTTCAAGCAACCAAACTAGTTCTAAATCCAAATTAAACATAAGATATGTCCATTTTAACTCAAAAACAACAATTTTATCATATAATTCATCCTTAATTTCAAGAATTTCAATAAAATTTCAAACTTTTAAAACATGAAAAAATCTTCAAAATCAATCATTCAAATAATTCAGATTTCTACTCCTATTTCTTATTCACAAAGTACCCAATAATTCAGCCTAATATATTGAATGAATTAAAC